CCACCTTGCCTCCTGTCAGAGCTGGGGAGCTATGTCTCCACCTCCTTCTGCCTAAGTCCCTCTCTCCCTGTGACACTGTGCCCCAAATCCCATTCTCCTCCTCTGAAGCCTCACTTTGTCACCCATCTTTCTTCTTTTTGCTATCCTCTGCTTTTCTTTTTTTTTTATTTTATTTAAAAAAAATTTTTTTTTCAACGTTTATTTATTTTTGGGACAGAGAGAGACAGAGTATGAACGAGGGAGGGGCAGAGAGAGAGGGAGACACAGAATCGGTAACAGGCTCCAGGCTCTGAGCCGTCAGCCCAGAGCCCGACGCGGGGCTCGAACTCACGGACCGCGAGATCGTGACCTGGCTGAAGTCGGACGCTTAACCGACTGCGCCACCCAGGCGCCCCTATCCTCTGCTTTTCTAATTATACAGTACTTGCCTCTCAGTCTAATAATGTATTCAATCCTTGCCTATATTTAAAAAACAAAACAAAGACTATCTTGTGACCCCTGAGTTTTCTCTAGCGACTACTCCATCTCCTTCTTTCATTTAAAGTTAAATTTATTGAGGGGCGCCTGGGTGGCTCAGTCGGTTGAGCATCCAACTTCGGCTCAGGTCATGATCTTGCGGTTTGTGGGTTGGGCTCTGTGCTGACAGCTCAGAGCCTGGAGCCTGCTTCGGATTCTGTGTCACCCTCTCTCTCTCTGCCCCTCCCCTGCTTGCACTCTGTCTCTCTCTGTATCTCTCTCTCAAAAAATAAACATTAGAAAAAAATGTTTAAGCTACATTTATTGGGAAAAAATGGGAAATTTTCCATTTCCTCCTCCGTTCACTGCCATCTAGCCTTCATCCTGCTTTCCACTGAAACTACTTTCACTTAGGTTCCCATGACCAACATATTCCTAAATCTAACACTTTCTAAATCCTCTCTTACTTCACCTCTGGGCAGACTTTATGCAACTTGGTCATTAACTTCTTAAAACATTTTTCCACTTGACTTTCCAAAGGTCTCCCCTGGCTGCTTCTTCTTGGTCTCCTGGTTTTTTGGTTTTTGTTTGTTTTGCCTTTTTTTTTGTTGTTGTTGTTTTGTTTTGTTTTGTTTTGTTTTGTTTTGTTTTTTGCTTCCCTGCATTGTGCTTTGCAGATGTTATTAAGGATCTTGAGATGGGGAGCTTATCTTGGATTACCTGGGAGGGCCCTTAATATAATCATAAGATTTGGCTACAGAAGATGGCAATATGACCATTTAGGCAAAATAATATACCGAAGATGGAGGAAGGGGTCAGCGACTAAGGAATGCTACTTTAAAATATGGAAAAGGCAAGGAAGCAGATTCTCCCCTTAGAACCTCCAGAGGGAGTTCAGCCTTGCTGACACCTTGATTTCAGTCCAGTGAAATTCATTTCACACCGATCTCCACGACTATAAAAGAATAAATGTGTATTGTTTTAAGCTATCAAGTTTGTGTTCATTTATTATAGCAGCAATAGAAAACTGCTATGGGCCATGTAGGGCCCTTCATACCTTACAGGCCCCTGTCCTAGGACTCTTCCAGCTGTGTTCTTTCTCTTGGGGTCAAAGTCTATGTCCCCACTTGTAGGCCAGGCATCAGGTCTCCAGGACCTCAGAATTCTTTACTCAGGAAATTCTTGCTCAAGTCCTATTTTCAGGCCTAAATACTTCTTTCCCCAAGTTTGTCCTTTTGAGACAGACTGCACTGCTGGTGGGGTCATGCTTGGATCCAAAGGGTGGTCAAAGGAGCAACTGCTTGTGAGGGGTGAGCCACTGTGTAGACAATAGAATGAAGGGCACAAGAACTGAAGCCAGGAGACCAGAGAAAGTCTTTTATGGTACTTCCGGCATGAGATGATGATAGCGGTGGCGATGGGGAGAAAAGACTGGACTCTGGGTATATTTTGAAAATGAAGACAAGTTTTGCTGATACATTGATAAGAGGTAGGAGAGAAAGAGAGGGGTAAGTGTAATTCTAAGGTTTCTGGCCTGAACAGGTAGAAAGATGGCATTGCCATTAACCTAGATAGGAAAGAAGGGAGAAAGAGCAGATTTTGGGTAAATATTAGTGGCCCAATTTTAAATGTGTTACGTTTTGGATGCCCATTACACAGCAAAGTGGGTAGGCAACTGGATGTTTAAGTGAATCTTGCCTTTTTCAAAGAGTGTATACTTCCAGCAACTAGCATACTGTCTTGAAACAGGAGAGTCTTAATATTGGATACGTCAAATGAATATGTGACATTCCTCCATAGAAATATTTCAAGACCTACTCACAGTTTTATATCTGCACATCATCAAGTTGGTTAATATGAAGCCTACTGACATTACACAGCTTGGCCAACTGCGTAAGCCAGGATATTAACAACCTGATTGTTTAGTATCTCCTTGTTCTTGGCTCTCTCAAACATTTTGATTAGGACTAGGGCTGAAGTTGAATATTAATACCAAATAGATTGAAGTCAGATCCATGGTCCCTCTCTTATTATCCTAGTGTTGAACTTTCTTAATTCACTGATTGCAAGAAATTTTTCTCTGTAATTATAAAATGTATAATAATATTGACTTCTTTGTTCCATCTCTAAAATTCTATTTTTTTTCTCCACCACATGTTTGGAAACGTTTGCAGCCAGAGCTTTTGTTATTTCAGTCTGCTTGAATGCATTGTGGATACTGATAGGGCCTGAAAGTGTCTGATGATGCTGAATAGTCTATGAAAGTTAGTTCTTTATAAAATGTTAATTTGATGAATGAGCCATAACACTAATCTTCCTGGCTCTAAGTTTGCAGACACTATAAAACCATTTGCCTATAAAACGTACTATGTTTTATAGTGTTAAAAAGGTCATACTTCTGTTGCAAGATGTTGGAGACTAGGTTGCCCATGCATTTTCTCTTGTATCTTTTATAGTTAAGCTATTTTTCCCTTTTACTCTCCAGAAGTTTCTCTTGTCAAGTTCACCAATGATATTGACATGAAAAAAATAGTCATTGTTTTTAATCCTCATTTTCCTTAATCTCACAGCAACATTGACACAGTTGACTACTTCCTCAATAAATGCTTTTCCTTCTTTATTTTGTATCATTGTGCTCTCTTGTTGTAATAGTTAATTTTATGTGTCAACTTGACTAGACCACAGGATGTGCAGACATTTGGTCAAGCCTTATTCTGAGTTGTTTCTGTTTGGGATTAACATTTGATTTGGTAGGCTGAGTAAACAGATTGCATTCCCTAATGTAGGTAGGTTTTAGGTGTCATCTAATCAATTGAAGGCAGAAAAGAATGATGAGCTAAAGTAAGAGGGAATTTCTGTTGCCCAATGTATCGAGCTCAAACACTGGTCTTTTCTTGCCTTTGGTCTCAAATTAAAACATCAGTTTTTCTTGGATCTTGAGCCCATGGGCTCTCTTGGTTCTCAGGCCTTTCAAAACAGACTGGAACAATACCATCAGCTTTCTTGTTTCTCCAGCTTTCTGACTACACATCTTGGGACCTCTCAGTCTCCAAAATTGCATTGATGAACCAATTCTTTATAATAAATATCTGTGTGTGTGTGTGTGTGTGTGTGTGTGTGTGTGTGTGTATTTGCTTGTAGGCCATCTCCTCCATGAGAATGTAACACTATGAGCACTGAAACTTTTTGTCTACTTTGTTCACTCCTGTATTCCAAGCCCTGGAATTGTGTCTAGCAAATAGTAGGCACTCAATAAATACTCGTGGACTGTATGAAAAAATTCGTTTGTGGTATTTTCCTAAGGCCTAAGACCAGTAACAACTTGTGCTTGTGTGCATATTTCTTCATAGATGCTCAAAATGTCCATATGTGTTATCTTATTTAAACTCACATCATCTTTTAAGAAGGAGGGGAGGGGGCCATTTAATTATGACTCATATCCATTGGTGGAATGGGAATGTTTGGTCCCCGGGAATCTTAATGCCCTGTGTTTTGAAGATAAGGCTGCTGAGCATACCTTCACTTACCTCATGAGCAATGTATCTTGGAATCCTGTCTTTGAAGAATTTATTTCATAAGGCTGTGCATTTTGCTACAAGAACTGGCCAGCAAAAATATTCTCAGTCAATATGAATTTTAAACATTTAAAATTCTTTCCAGTTTGGAAAAGCTACAACTAAAAGTTAGGGTTTCAGAATTGCACATATGGTAAGAGGAAGGTATGGTTTCAGACATTCTCTGGAGTTTGTCTTCCAAACGCAGAAACCAAGGGGCAGATTAATTTGCACAGATAACACCAATAACCCTTTAGTGTCCTATGAATACTGCTATGTGAATATATTACTCCCTCTCAGCCTCCCACTGCAAATCTGTGTTAGGTATCTCTGACAATTTATGAACAATGTGCAAATGCATGATTTTGTACATTAAGATTTCATAGGAGGGAGATGATACATAATAAACTTTTTAAGTAAATGTACTAATAATTCAGCTCTTAAATAGTAATTCAATAGTCACATGCCCAAAATTACATTTTTATTATGTGTTTATTTGTGTACAAAATACGTTGTAATTTACTGACGCATGTGCAGCAAAATATTCTATCACATACAACAAAAATACACCTTTTACTTTCCTTCCCCTGCCCCTGAAAATGGCAACACTGTTTTGGCAGTTCAGCAGCTAAAAATAAAGTGCTATAATTAAGCAGTATTGGGATGTCTTCACTTGACAAATGTGATGTACAATTTGAGTATACAACCACATCTTAGTTTTTTTCACAGAACAGGAAATTCCACATCCTGAACACCTCCAGAAGATACAAATATTTGTATATATATGTACACATGTATACACTGTATATGTAAAGTACCAACGAGCCTCTTTGTCCTTTGTGAGTTTGATGTATTTATGTTTATTCTTTCTTTCTCTTCCCAAAGCCAGATTCACACTATTGGTGTCTCAGTTCATCAGCAGGCACCGAGAAGTTCACGGAAGGCTGGCTTGTTGGGGGTGTGGTGTTGGTGGGAGGACAAAGAAAGCCTTCAGACCTCACTGGGGGACCTAGAACGGAAGGGCACTTTGGACTGGAAACAGCCACAGAACAGGAGCCACAGGGCACGCTGAATCTCCTGGTTGCGGAAGGCATAGATGATAGGATTGATCATGGAGTTGTAGGTGGCGGGCAGTAGGGTGGCGTAGGTGTAGACTGCCGGGTCCTCGCGGCTGCCTACCACGCAATAGATGGCGAAGGGCAGCCAACTGGCGCCAAAAGTGCCCAGCACCACAGCCAGCGTACCCACGCCCTTTCTGGTGGCTGCGAGGTGGGGCGGCGCCAGGCAGTGCTGCTGCAGCGCGATCTGGTGAGCGTGGCGCCAGACCACCTGGCAGATGCGCACGTACAGGTGCAGCATGATACCAAAGACCGCAAAGAACGCGGCGGACAGCAGCGCCACGTGGCTGCGCGTCAGCGGGCGCACCACGCTGCAGGTGGAGCGCTCCGCTAGGCAGTTCCAGCCGAGCACCGGCAGCAACCCGAGGCCTAGGGACATCGTCCAGGTGGCAGCGAGCAGCAGGTGCACGCCCAACAGGGTCCGGCGCGAGTAGTAGGTGAGTGCGTTGTAGAGAGACAGGTAGCGGTCCACTGTGATGGCCAGCAGGCTGCTGACCGAGGCAGCGAAGGAGGCCACGAGGAAGCCCACCGTGAGCAGGCTCACCGTTTCTGAGGGCACCACGTACTGGAACACGAAGTGAAGGATCAAGCCGCAGCCCGCCAGCAGGTCGGCGGTGGCTAGGCTTCCCACCAGCACGAACATGGGCGTGCGCAGCGCTGGGGTGGACGCGATTAGCGCCACTACCAGCGCGTTTTCGCCTGCGATCACCGTCCCCGACACGCACAGGAGCACGTCCCAAGGATTCACCGCCGACAGTAGCAGCCCCGGCGGCCCCGCGGGCAGCTGAGAAGACAGCTCGAGGGACGCGTTAGCCGCGCCGCCGCCTCCCAGCGCCGCCGCTGCAGGCGGCCCCCATTCGCCGCTGTCCCGCGCCCCTGCCGCTGTCGCCGCCGCCGCCGCTCCCTCGGTGGTCACTGCCACCACCTGGGAGTCGTTGAGCGAGGAAGCGCTCGCGTTCATCGCTGGCTGACGCTGCACCCCTGCGTGGAAAAGGGAGAGCGAGCGTCAGGTGTGTGGTTCACGCCGCCAGGGAACTTTCCCCGGGCGCGGGTGCCTCGCTCATATTGCTCATCCTACCCCAGGACCCCAGAGCAGAGCAAGGAAGCAGTGGCTGAGAACCTAAAATTAATAAATACCTGTTGAGTACGGAGTGAGCGTGTGAGTGAAACGCACACGACTGCTCCACGGATATATGAGTTTTTGCACAGATATATATATACACACAGAGAACATGCGCTTGCATACACACAGATCAGTCCCGTAAGTGTGCCAATAACTGCAACAGGCACCCGTTTGCACCTGGCTAGGTAGGGGCATCAGCCCTGGCGAGTCCTGCCCTGGGCTCTGGCCAGTCGACCGGGTTAGGCTTTTTCCTAAACTAGGTGGCGGAGTCGCTGTCCGCGGTGCTGAAAGCGAAGTTTCAGAGGTCGCGGAGTCCAGCGGGCCCTGAAGGCCACAGAGATCCCTGGGAAAGGGGTTTGGGGGAGGGAAGCTGGGGGTCTGTGTAGGGGAAGGGTGTGGAGTCAAGCGTGGCCCTATTTCTTCTGCTTCAGGGAAGCCCCCTGGCCATCCTTCACCCCTTCCCTTTTCAACACCCTCAAAGTTCCTCTCGGGTGTCGGGTGCTCACCTGGGGAGTCAGGGCCTCAGGAAGTCGCTGATCATGAGCGCTGTGGCGGGGCGCAGGCTGCGCTCCCCGCGCGGACAGACTCTACGCCTGCGGGGCGGCCGGGCCCGCGCGGAGCAGAGCGCGGGGCGCCTGTCTCTGTGCCGGCGCCGCCGAAAGTGAGAGACACGGTTAGAGGCAGAAAAGGCGGCTACGAGCAGCGCGCCCGCGGAAGACTGACTGGCAGGGAGCGGTGACGTCAGGCTCCCGGCTCCTGAGTGCGAGCCGGCACTCATTCCCCTCCACCGCCCATCAGTACCCCCCAGCTCCGTCTCTCCTCCCCCAAAGTACGTCTCCGAAGGTTCAAGGAGGGAGGAGAAGACGGAGCGGCCACCTCCTGTCCAGAACCTCCAGGAATGGGATGAGGGAACGAGGAGAGGAAGAGAGGGGTGAAGTCTGAGGGAGGGTGAGCTGGGAGGAGAGGGGCGAGGTGTGAGCTGCAAGGCCGGGCTGCAAAGCCTTGGGCCAAAGGTCACCAAGAGGGTCAGGTCAAAGTATGAGCCCTGGAGAGGGAGGAGGTTGGGGCAGGGAGATCTAATGGCAGAGTTGCTACCTTAAAAAAAAAATACAGGGGCGC